TGTTTGCTTTCTGCTTAGAAGGCTCTAGGGTTTTTAGGGTTTAGGGTTTAGGGCTGTGTTGTGGGCGAAGGGGTTTTAGGCTTGGTCTGGATTTTTGGAAGGATCAGTCCGGAGATCCCCTGGATCAATGACTATAGTGGGATTCTTATGAGGAGTTGTTTCAGGAGAGCTCTGGTGAAGGTACCATGATTTCGGGCTGTGGCCCCATGCTTAGGGCACAGCATATACAATTGCAGGTTCCATACAGATATGAGGCTAAGATGTAAGTGACAGTAAGGTGCAGTGGCACCCTCAAATCCCAAAACCAACACCCCAGAACCCAAAACCACAAGCCCTATCGGCCATGCACTCTAAATCCTCCATCACAAACACTAAACCCCAGAAGCAGTGTGTAGGTTCTCCATTGAAAGCCTATTAAATCCTCAACGGCTTCTGGCTCACGCCTCACATACGGTTGTATGAGATGAGCATAAGATACATAGCCCCATACATTTAAGCGTCCTTATAGAAAAGATGCTAACGAAGCCTCCAGAAAGCGTGCACCGACCGCGGGCTCATGGAATTCCATTTCTTGTTGCTATAAAAGCGAGGAGCAAGAAGACGATTACAGGGCTTTCAGGCTTTACGAGAGCTTGACAGGGCTTAAGCATGTTGTAGGATTCTCTAAGTATTTATAAGGCTTAACATTGTTCTATAAGGGGCGTATGAGGTGTTACCTCGCCCCTGCACCCAACTACAAACTCCCTCAAGCAAGTTAGGCACGACCCATCGCCAAACCCGAATCGCTGTGGGCTCATACAACATTTTACAACCCCCTAAGCCTAAGACCCTACACTTCAGAGCTTCAGAGTTTCATCCTGTATCGCTTATCCCTAAACCCTAACCCCAGAAACGCCGGAGCCCTCAACAACAAGAAACAACCCTAAGCCCCACAACCTGACCCAGCAGCCCCCGAGCTCAAAGCCCAAGACTCCTAGGTGGTATTAGGGAGACCCCTCAAAGGGGACCTCTGAACCCCTACTTATGGCTCTCTTAAAGCGGACCTTCTTGAGAGGGTCTATAGCCCGAAGGGTCCCCCTAATCCCAACTCCTAATGACCGATCGGATTCGCCAGTCCGGTCCGCCCGCTCGGCGTTCCCTTTGCTGCCAAGAGCCCTGAGGCAGGGCACTTGATGCGCAGGTCTAGGCCTTCTCCGAAATCTCTTAGTTCAGGAGGTATATATACCTTAAATCCTAGGGATCCTACGGAAATCTCAGGTATAATTATTCCTTAATACAGCGATTTTTTGGAAGGTCTGTGGAACTCAAAGCACTTGCATGGCTTTGGGGCTTCGAGGCGTTCGGGGTTTAAGGCTTTTGGGGACTTTAGGGTCGGGACGCGTGCGTTATTTTTGGGGTTTGTTCCGGCCTTTGGTATCTGAGCCCAGGGAGGCTCGGGGGTTTAGGCTGCTTTAGGGGCCATAACAATTCGAATCGAATTTTGGGGGATACTAAACTAGAAGTATAATGAGGAAACCCCCAATCGTATGTATTACATAGTAAGTGTTTAGACCCGTAAATTCAGGCTTTACGAAGTATGAAGGTTGCGGGGCTCTTTGCTTGGGGCATCCTTAGGGGGTGTCGGGTTAGAATGCCTGGCTGTCGGCTGAAGCTCGTGGTCAGAAATCTGGTTTTCTGGTGTGCAGGTCGTACTAGTTACTACATGTAGTATCTTCATGTGGTGTTGGCCCTAAAACCCTAAACCCTAAACCCGAAATTTAGGGGTTTATGCAGGGTTCGGAACCACGAGCTGACAGGCAGCTGCAGGCGTCAGACATACAGATGAGCGTTCAGACTGCGACATGGGTAGCCGTACTACGGTTTAGGGTTTAGGGTGACTTCATTCTGCGGTGTATTTACTATACTTATCGCAAGGAACCCCAAGGAATAGTCTTCGCCGCGTATGTCGCTTCCCAGCTGGTAGGATGTCAGGTTCGAAGTAGTAACTAGGGTCGGATGTATTTGTCGGTTTGGGGTCCTTGCCCCAAACATCGCAATTCATTCCAAGGTGCTGCTATTTTGTCGAGCCTCAGTAGAATAGGGTTGCGGGATATCTTATACTATAATGACAATGAGGAGCCCCAAAATAGTATGGATAATCATTTCGGTTCCTATATTACTATGTAAACCCCGAAGCCCATCTCCAAATCCTCAACCCTACTACCGGTAGCATACATACCTGCACTTCTACCCATAGGCCCATAAGTAGTTCCTTTTTGTGGTTCATATTTAGAACCCTACAAGGTAATCCCAAAAAGGAACTACTTAGGGGCCTATGGGTAGGCTAGTGTTGTAGGCCACGCCTTGAGGCGATGTGGCATCCGGACGTGGAGGCTGACAAACTGATCGACATGGCTCCTGAGGCCATATTAGGGATTGCATTTGGGGTTGTTGGGCTTGGGTTTAGGGCTTTGGGAAAAGTTTTTGCTATATGATGGGAGGGGGGTTCCGAAGTATATGGAAGCGAGGCTTCCGGCTTTCGAATTATTAGGACTTGAGGCTAAACCCTCAGAGCCCTAGACCCCAAAGGCTTAAGAACTATACCCTAAACCCTATAATCAGTAAACCTTGAAGGGCTTTTGAGGGGAGTCTGCTTCTGTGAGATTATTCCCCAGAGGCCGGGAGAGTCAAGTCGCAAGCCACAAACAGGGTTTGGGGTTTAGGGTTTAGGGTTGGGGGTTTAGGGTTTAGGGTTCCGCACTGCGCGCAGGAATCAGGGCGAGGCAGGGGGGGTGGGTTGAATATGGAAGCCTGAATAAGTAATAGTACGATTCCTTTTGGATCCTGCAGTAACTATAGTAGAGTAGGTATGCCCCAAGGCCCTATTCATATTTAATTTAAGGCCCCTGCATTTGGGTTTCTGTAGCGGCAGGCTGGCATTAAGAACCAATGTGCCCGCAACTATGGCCACGACAGCGGTTTGCCGGTGAGACATATTCCTCGGACAGCTTGTTTTATGGCTACATGTAAACCGACAGTTCTAAACCTTAAGCTTAAACCTGATACCCTAGACTGGACCTGAAGCCCTGCACACACCCTAAGCCCTACATGCACCAGACCGCAGACCCCCATTTACATATCACCTCCACCATCATCATCATCATCATCATAATCATCATCATGGTCTTAAGTCGTAACCATCTTCATCGTCATCATCATCATCACCATCATCATCATCATTGTTGTTCTTCTTATCCACGCCTTCATCATTCAACAAGTCAACAACAGCAACGGCATCAGTTTCCACATCATCTCCTTCCACCATCGTCATCATGTCCTACCCCATGTCATCATCATTGTCATCATCGTACATCAAAGTCATCATCGTCATCAGAAAGCCGCGATCAGCACCACGGGTGTTGACACTTTCCAGGAGCCACTGGCACCGCCCGAGGACGCACAGCGTCTTCAGAGGGTCCTTGTTGTTTGCTGGTATTGGATCATTGTGTATCAGGTGCATCTGTTCACTACACAAAAGGGCCTGGGTACCTACAGGGTTTCTATGGCATGCGCAGGGCGTTTGGGATTCAACAGCGCCTCAACGGTCGTCGGCAGTGGTGCTCGTAGAGTTCTAGCAGCTAGCATGTGCTGAGAGTGGCGTGTACAGTTGCAGCAGCACAACGACCCTAGCAATTCGTGATCATTCGAGCTAGTGTTGCCAGCTTCAGGACACGAGCTCGACAACGGAGGAGGATCAGGCGCCCTTCGACTGCAGCCCCTACACGTGTATGTCCACACACATTGCGTCCCCCACTACTTCAGGGGGCCTTGGCGTCACTGAGCCTTTAGGCGTCCTTGTGCAGGATGCCTGTTTTTTGTTGTTTTTTTTACGAGCTTTAGATGCGTTGTTTATCAACGGTAGCTGGCACTTGTTTGGCTTTCAAGTTCTCCTGCCCCGTTCCGGGTTCGTTGATGCTTCAGTCGGCTGTTTGTCTTTGCTGCTTGCCTTCCTCCCCTTGTATGTTGTAGGCGGGATGTGTTCACTTGTGGCCATCCCATGATTGCAAAAAGCACGCCTGTGTGTTTCTGTGTGCGTGCTTGTGTCTCTATCTGTCCTTCCTGCTGTCTCTCTGTCTCTTTATCTGTCTGTTGATGCATGTTTGCTGTTGTCTGTGCACGTGTGGTTGTTGGCTTGTGTGGTTCTGAGTTTGTTGTGGCTTTCGCGACGTGTGAATGCTGCTGTCTGCACTTTATTGTCGCGGGTTTGTGCAGGCAAATCATCACAATAGCATATGATGCTACTGTTAGTATCGTACCAGTACCAGCACGAGTACTACTACCAATACACAGTAACAGTAGCAGTAACAGCAACGGCAACCGTGAAGGTAAAAGTAAGAAGTAATAGTAGTAGTAAGGGTAATAGTAACAACAACCGCAGCAATGGCAGTAAACATTGACTGGTGCTAATTTAGTGCCGATAATTCTGGCGCTGCTGTTGTTGTTGTTGTTGCTGTGGCTGCTGTTGCTACTGCTGCCGGTGCTCTTTGGCGGTGCTCAGGCCGTTCTTGGCGTTCCAAGTGCTCAGGTTTCTGCTGCAGATATGCGATGATTGTTATTCTTGCTGCTGTTGTTGTTTTTAGTAGTACTAAGACTCCTCGTCTTCTTCTGCTGCTTGATATTAGTGTTGGTCGTGATGGTGGTGATGGTGCCTATATACTTTGATTCAGGTCAGTCTTGTCAGGAGGTGCTGGTCGCCATCGTCGTGACCGCGTTGAGCTGCTGCTGCTGCTGCTGTTGTCGTACTGGCGGTCTGTTGTGCTGTTTTACTGTTATGATGTGTCGTGTTGTTCTTATTGCCGTTATTTCTGCCACTGCCGCTTGTGGCAGCGACAACATTGAGGGCATCTGGCAGGCTGAGATCGATGGTGCATTCATGATATCTGATAGGTGTTTCGGTTCTTACTGCATCGAATGGCTGGGGAGACGAAGCTGCTGTCTTCAGAAGATCCTGCTTGAAGAGCATGGACAGAGGGTCTGTGACAGAGTACCACGTGCATGTGGACGTCTCCACGGAATCACATGTGCACGTGGACGATGACACCTTTCTTTGCTGTCCGTCCCTGAGTTGCACTTGGACAGCTTGAAGTTTTTTGCAGATTTTGCCAATTTTTCTCCGACTCCGCAAACCTGAAAGACCCGAGCATGCTCTCAACGCTTCCCAGAAGTCCAGGATTCCAGATGACGCTGCCATGGCCGGCGTGGTCATGACGCATCGACTAGAGAGGCTTCACGAGCTGTCTTTGAAGAATTTCCACCTCGCCATTTTCTGTCTCATCTACATCGCAGTGATTCTTGGATGTCCTTCAAGCACATCTCTCTATAACTAAGCCTTATACAGAAGCAATACATTATTCGAACATGCTTTGTCGTCCAACCGCCAACTCAGCAATCCTCGTCAAAGCCTGCATGTGATGGGTCCAAGGAACATGGTGTGCTTGGTGATGAACTATATGGGACAGGAATGGCTCGGAATCGACGACCGAGAACACGTTTTCCACCTGATCGAGTTCTGGGCGACCTTTGCTTTTTCTTGTGTCCAAGTGTATTCCTTGGTCTACTCTCCGAGGAGTGTAGGTGCCATCTATCGGAATCCTTTTGTCCTCAAGACCGTGATCTTCCTCAACGTAGCCTCGACATTTGGCTCTGCCCTCCTGGTCACAGTAAGCCTGGAAACTTTTGAGGTACTTTCGCATGAGGTTGAGTATGCCAACGAGATCACTATGGCCTTCGTGGATGTGGTCCTGCTAGGTGTCGTAGCAAGACAGGCCGGATACAACATCGAAGGAGCATGGTTCAACTTGCTGGCCGCAGTGTTCACACTGGTGGTGGCTGTGCTACAGCTTGGCATCTACAACATGCTAGATGGGCCACACGGAGGACGAGGGACGGGTTTTTTAGGGGTGCCGTCGCAAATTGGGTTGTGGTGATTAGAGGCCGGGTTCGAACACCGCAGATTTGGATCGGTTGATTGTTTGCAAACCACTTCGGTCATTCCTAGAAGAGTGCGGGCGACGCTGTCTCCGAGGACCTGGAGAACCGATTGCTCACTACTTCGAGTTCGCCTTCGAGTCTCTGAGTGCCCTCATCTCCTTCTCTTTCTGCATGGATGGCAAGCTCATGTGTGACCGGGCCCTTAGAATGTTGCTTGACACGCAACAAAGGCAACGTGCCGCAGTGGGTGCACCTTGCTCTCACTCGCGCGGCAAACGGGGCCTGCAAGGTGCCTGAGTATTTCGCGGAGTGCTTTAGTTTTCGTGTGTGCGGTGTAGCCGAAATCGGCGATTTCACTGCGAGTGTATTCAGAGGTGGTGAGTTTTGACAGATGTTGTAAGTATCGAGTCCACCTGGCAGTCTGCAATGCAAGATGCTGCCTTTGGTTCGGTGCAGAAAATCATCGCTCAGGCTCGTTCCTGGTGCGGCTAGGTGGGTGTACTTTTGCGATTATAACACGTCCCGTAGATTCTTGCGAGCATTGCTATTCCTTTAACTGCAAATTTCACGAACCCCAAATGTCGAATCTCGGATCGATCGAGGAACATGGTATAAAGATCCTATTTTCATCAAGGCGTCCAAACTGTATTGGGACTCAGGTGTCCGGTTTAGGGCTCCTGGTTTCTGCTTGCTTTAGAGTCGAGGGCCCCTCAAGCTTTCGTTCAGGACACACACACGCACACATTCAGGGGTCGAGCTCCCTATGCAGGAGTATATGTGTTTATGATTGCAGATCTAACATATCTATATAAAGGATTTCGTGAATCAACTCTTGTGAACCGATTTAGGCAGCTGCACCTGGCCTCGTATGAGAAGGGAGGAAGTTGTGGCGAGAGAGGTTCTCAAGTTCAGGCCTGTAGCGGTCGCTTTGAATTTGTGGCCGCAGACTGGACTTTCTCGGGTTTCTGATTTTGGCGGTCGTGGACTGTGTAGGAAGCTCCTGCATTTGCTTCGGCGAATCGGCTGATCAACTTCGCTTGTTTGGCTGCACAGGGCCCTAAACCCTGAGCCCTTAAACCCTTCAACCCTTAAGCCCCAAACCCCCAAATCGTAGGACTCTGAACCTGTTCGACCTTTGATCGACGATGTGCCCGCATCTGAACCGACAGATGAACTCTGGGATCCCGGTGTGTAGGCTTCCAGGCTAGCCGGAGCCCTAAACCTTACTAAGCCTCCTTGTGGATACATACTACTAGCTGCATCACCGGAAAAGTCCCTGTGTAACAATAGCAAATTGCACACTCTCCTCTAAACCCTCTTCCGCTGACTCCGAAGTTTTGGTGTCCAATCCCAATAACCGCGTGCTGCTACTGTCGATTTTGGGGTTAAAATGTCTGGGGCTGACATGATGGTCTTGAAAATCAAGAATTCCTGCAGAACTATCTACCCTCAACCCAGAGGATAGATATTTTTGATTTTTTTGTCCAGCTTGGCTGGGAGGAGCCGCGGGATTTGCCGATGCCGCAGGCCAACCGGGTCTAGAGTGTTTAGGGCTAGGGCCTGGGCCTAGGGTTTAGGGTTTATTGTAAGGGTTTAGGGTTTAGGGTGTAGGGCACACATCATGCCAAGTATGACCGAGTCCCTTGCCCCTGCAAGCATCAAACTGCCGGGACAAAAGTGTGTTTAGGAAGTTATTTCACAAATTATGAAACGGGTCAACAGAAAATTATGTGTATGTATACATATATATATGTTTATGTATGTATGTATGTATGTATGTATGTATGTATGTATGTATGTATGTATGTATGTTATATATATATGTATAAACAGATACAGGTATTTACATGGACATGGATACAGACACAGATATACATATACGTACATATCTACATACACATGCACATATGCATATACTTGCATGTACATATACAGGTACCGATTCACACACTGCCCGTGCATCGGTCATGGCAGTGGTGCTTGCATGTATCATCTGTGTCTGTGACTACATGATGCTTTGGCTTGCAAGTGTCGACCCGTAAGGGTACACTAAAGTGATACAGTAATGGACTTCAACCCACACCAAAAGCCTTAGACCGTAAATCGCATTTCATCCATGTCAGATTTGTGTTCGGGACGGTTTAGGATTTCAGTTTGACTGTCGACTTGTGTGCAACATGTCGGAACTTCTTTGCAGTGCTAAGCTGAGCCTTGCAGTTCCACAAACCGAAGTTGGTGCTGGTTTATCCTTCCAGCTTTGGCATCTGTCATCCCCCCTTCGCAGCACACAAAGCGCGGCTTTCGAGAACTGGCAATGGCATGCGTCAGCCTTCTCAAGGACGACGACGAAGTTGAAGACGAGAACGGTGAAGGCAACGACGACCTTAAGAAAATTAAGACTGAGAGCAGCAGCAGTCAGACAAAAACATCGGGGGCATCAGATGTAGTTGAATGCAGCAGCAAGACCTTCAGCGGTAGCACCTACAACAGCAAAACCAACAGCCAGCACAATCACCACCAACACTACTACCACCCCACCACCCGCTGCGACCAGCAGCACCACGGCCACCGCCTCGAAGACAGCTTCTAACATCACCAACCGCCGTTACATCAACAGGCAACCCAGACGATGTTTTGTGTTAGTCCTTTGTGTCCAAGAAGGTGCTGCCTTCGCGGCCTAATGGTATCAGTAGCTGTTCTTGCTAAGGAGCGGGATGCCATTGTAGCTCACATATTCGGGTTCAATGCGAAGGAAACCAGTGCAAGTCCTTAGACCGCAACAAGAGGGCCGTGGTTGTCTTGAGTGTCTTTCTCGCACCACAGGCGGATTTTTGGTGGGGATGTGCCTGCAATTCGGGTCCACTACCACTTTCAAGACGTGGGTTCAAGGGTTCTGGCTTCTGTATGTCTGATTGCTGATGAGTGAGTTTCCTAACATGTCTAGCAGTCCTTAAAGGGAAGGTTTGCAAACCGTTATGACCAGCAAGCTATCGAAGTTTGCAAGCTGTTTGGACACGCGCAAAGCTGTCGAAACTTGTCTGGTCAGTCATTCTGCATGAGCAAAGAACCGAAGCTCCGATTGCCTGAGAGATCAAGAGCCTGTGTGTTTTGCAGGAACATGGCAGGGAAGAGCCATTCCATCCCTGGCGTTTCTTGCTTGTAGAGCATGCCCCAGCAAGGTGCAACTAATTCAGTTTAAACTCGTAATGTAGTAGAGAATTGCCTGTTCGACAACAGACCAAGACAAGTACCATGGCGGCAGGGTGATCGTGTACGATGAGTGTCCGAGTTAAATCAACACTGGGAGCCATTTTCTCGTGAATGCAATGTGTCGCCTTGTCTTGGATTTTCTCAGTTTAGGAAGATGTGAAAGGCATGCTCGCCCAGCTTGTTCCACCAACGTGCTGGAATCATCCGAGTTTCGAGTAGTCAGCTGAGATAGCCAGAGGATTGTTTGAATCATGCCCGAATTACACGCGGCTCTGATGCAACCTTAGAAAACCGACAAGCCGTCCGAAAGGACTGCAGAATGCGAGCCCGTTACTCCGGGTGGTCGTTTTGTAGATCTTAAGGCTTCATGTTCCACATGCTTTCACGACAAATTGAAAATGCGTCCGACGTGTTCATATTGTTTAAAACAGTCTGGCAAGGCCAAAACATGGTAATGAGGATCTCGAGAGGTTTGCACGGACTCTCCAGAAATGGCTGACGACCGTGGCTTCGCAATAAGCAGGTCATGGAAGTGTTTTTTGCAGTGTTGGTGTGGTCTTCTGCGTAGGTCCATGTAGATTCTGCGTGCGCTTCCAACATGCGGGCGGGCGTTCGTGTTCCGCGGCCGGCCGCCCCAGCCCCGAATCCAGGTCTACCATATGAACAGTCGCATCACCATCATCATCACCACGTTTGCTACCATCACCATGCAGTGCCATCAACATCTCTTCCGTTATTCGATTACAGTGCTTTTGTGCACGACTTCGACCTTGAATCCAGCGCGAAATTGCGCGCTTCTTTGCAAGGCTCCTGGAGAGACCGATGCCGCTCCGCCCGAGGATTGCATGTCCACAGGGTACAGGTTGCTCATGATCATGGTGATGGAGGGCTTAAGGTTCGGAAGTTTGGTGGTTGATGCTTTAATTATTGTCATGCAAAAAAATCTCGCAGAGCTTAGGTGCAGGCCTGTGACAGGTCTTTTCAAGACTTTGGATGCACGGCGAGTTGCCGGAATTGTCGGTTCGTTTCGTGGTTTGAGGCCAGGGATGCTCATGGGCGGCCTGCGGCTTCATGCTCCGAAACCAAGACGTGCTCGATTCAGGCAATCACAGTCCTTTCATTTCGACACTGGTGAATTCCACACCGTAAAGATCCGATAGATCCATCCCAGACTGCAGTTGGTACAGACTTTACGAACGTGGTCTCTAAATCCACAGCCCTCAATTCTGAAACCGTTACCAACCCGTGCCGGTTTTTGGATGAGAGAGAAAGTGTCCGCTGGGTGGCCACAAGCCTCACGGTTCCAGCAGAACTATTCAATATCATTTACCGTTTTCAGTCGGGGTTCGAGTTTAGACCCTCCGCAAGTGGTGGAAATGGTGAAGACCGGAGGACATGAAGCAGTCCTGGATCCTTGCCAGAAGCGCTGAAGGGCACAAGCCACAATGTACTGAATCTAAATGCCTTGACATCTGTACCTGAATTCACTTCTGGATCCGATCCCGAAGACAGCAGCACTTGCGATAGGACCCCAAGCCACAACGGTCCCGGAGAATGTTCCAGGCTGGCCGGGGGCTTGTGCGTTGAGGATGTCCGGGTATCATCAGAACCCCATGCACGTGCATGATGGTGAGCCTGGCACGTCCGGGCACGCCAGTCCATATGTGCTGACTTCATTGTCTAAGAGTTGCGCCCGTTTGCGAGACCTCATTAGTTGTTTTGTCCAGCCAACACCTGTTCAGAGCGTGAAGCCCAAACCTAAGCACCCACGCTGCAACTCCATCCTGGCGTATCTTGGCCTTGCGGCTCTGACTCGCAATCCTGAACCCCAACATCCTAATTAAGGGCCAAACCCTGAACCACAACATCCCTTAACTCCAGACACTCAACGGGAAATTGCTGGCGACAGGAGACTGAAGAATTGCCAACCCTTGAGCAGCTTTTGCGTGCCATGCATCAGGACGAGGCGCGACTGAGCACTGCATGTGAGTCACTGTCACGTTCCAGATTGTGTTTTCGGGACTCCGAAAAAAATTCTTCACTGTCTCTACCGATCTTTTCGGTAGTTTGCGTTTAGCAGTTTTAGA